TGACCAATCATAAGAAAGTCCTCCTAACATGGTTATTATACGGCATACGGCATTTATACTACTTACGGCATTTATACGGCATGCGGCACTTCTACTTATACAGCAAATGTGCCGTATCGCTGTAATTTTTTTGCCGGGGTAGTTACCTTCAAGATTTTAAATGTCTGCATCATTAGTTACAACTTCTTGTCTAAACTTTGAATAAAGATTACTTAGCACTTACTTGATCAAATTCAATCAAATTTTGGATGTTTTATAGAATAGGTAGGCAGACTCCACAAACTCCGCAACTCTGCTAAATATCTATTAATAATTACTAATTATTAGCAGAGTTTATTTTCTATATTGCCCATCTATTCTATAGAACATCTCAAATTTTTCTTATTTAAATTCTATAAGCTCATATAATTAAATTAAAAAAATTAATCAAGTTTGACCAAGTAAGTGCTAAGTAATTTTTATTCAAAGTTTAGATACTTTAAAAAAAGAAGCTATAACTAATTTTTTTTAATGAATATTTCTTAACAACCTACTATCCAAATTTAATATATTTTTTTATTTTAATTTTATAAACTTACAGAATCAAAATAATAATTTTTTGATAATTACCAAACCAAATTTAATAACCTTTTTTTATTTTATTGCTGTTTTGAAATAGTTAAGAATAGCAGAATTACAAAAAAAAAATTTTTATATAAATATCTAAAATCCTAAAAACCTATTTAGTTTAGCTATCTGGCAAACTCTTATGATCATGGCACAATTTTTGCATATTATTTTTTTAGATATTATAACATAATGCAAAATAATTAAATTTTGTACAAATATTATCATTATAATCAAAGCTAACAACTTATATTTGGGTTAAAATTTTGGTAAATTTTTAAAATTAGGCTGTGAAACCCAAATTAAAATTTTTTAAAAATTTTAAATTTTGGGCTAGAAAATTAAATTCTAATATTTTAGGTTAGGAATTACAAATTCAGGTTTGAATTTTTTAAAATAGGTTAGAAATCACAAATTCAGGCTTGAATTTTCTAAATTTCTAATATGAAACTCTCAAATCAAATTAATTAATATATCAAGTACTTTATACAGTCAACCCTCCGTAAGTGCACTGCGTACAGATCACAAAAAATCTTGCATTTAGAGAGGTATTGCATTTAGGGGGGTAAAAATCTATAAGTATATATATAGTAGAGCCACAGCAAGACTGTGCATTTAGAGAGGTCTTGCATTTATGAAGGTTGCATTTAGGGAGGTTTGACTGTATATTAAATCCCAAATTTACTATTCAATTCAAACAATTAAAAATTGAATATGCAATTATGAAAAGTATTACTAGTAAGAAACTTTTTAACAAATTTTTTATTTTGCAATTTATTTTCACCTTCTTTAACTTACTTATTTTTTGCTTTCTTTTTAGAAATGTTTTGCCTAAGCTCATTTGAAGTATTAAAGAGTGAAACTTCAAGCTCATTAAAGTATTTGTTAATAATACTTGTGAATCTGTTTATTGAATATACAAATTCACATAAACAAAATCATCAACCACTGAAGCAACTTCACAAAAGCTATTTGGAGCTTTATTATCATCAAAAGCTTCATTATTATTGGCAACTTTATCATTATTGGTGGCTTCATTATTATTATCAGCAATTTTATAAAAAATTTATATAAAAAATTTAATATTTTAATAAACAAAATCATCTTCTAAAGATTTATTACCTTTTGATATTTGTGCTAATGTATTACAAAACCCTGAGCCTTCTTGTTGTATAACAAATCTAGGTTTTTTGTATATAGTAAAACCCTTCTGTAACTTGTATTTCATGATTGACATAACTACAGTATCTGAGTATCCAAGCTCTTTTAATAACTGCACTGCAGTTTTTGATTTGATATATTGTGGATTCCAATCTGAATATTTGTAGATTCACATATAGCTCAAAAATATCCTCTCAATATTCATTTACTCAATGTATATTTGTAAACTATTTTTTACTAAATTTGGCTTAAAAATAAATAAAAATAAAGTAAGTTAGTAATATCTATATAGTAATTACATAATTTTATAAAATAATTACTTTGCCAAAATCTGTTGATATAGGCTTTAAGTAAAAGTTCATTATAGTTGTTATTAGATATTTTATAAAGTAGAATTTGTAGTTATCAACAATATATTTAATATTTGGCAAGCTTATTATTTCTGCTTGTACATTATAGTTCTTAAGTTCTTTTTGGTTAGTTTTTAACTTAAATAATTTTATATCAATTTCTCTATTGAACCTTTTAACAAAGTTATGAATTTGGAGACTTTGATGCTCACTCCCATAATGTCAATGACCCTAGCGTCACCCGTAAAAAATGGTAGCCAGACAGATCTGCCAGGTATGTAATTCGGATTTTATTATGTGCAACTTTGATTTACAAATTTCTCTATTATCGTTATTGCTATTGAATAATAAATATGCGGCTTC